CAGAGATACCGAATAGTTGGTTATTTTGTGGAATTAGATGTATTTCTGATAGTTGTTGGCAGAGCTAATTATCAAAATAAATGTATATTTATATAAAAAGTTTGCAACTCACAGCCCATGGCTTACAACGTCAAACTTGTGTAGATGACTTTATCAGTTAATGCTTTTGGCACTTTACTGATGGCTGTCTCAGTTGCAAGATTAAACCCGTAAGCACTTCTTGAGAACAGCTCAGATCTTGACCTGAGCTTTGACATAAATTGCAATGCAGATGCTTTATTAATTCCTACTCGTTTTCTCTTCATTCACTCCAGAATACTTTGCCCAAGTGTATTTGATTGGTGCAAATGTCATTAGGCTAGAAAATGGTAATGAAGCAAAGGACTTCATGGTGCTTTTAAGTAGGTAGGAACTATCTCAGTTGGAGATAGCTGGATTTAGTATCTTCACCTTTGCAGATACTCAAAAGCCGTCTGGACATGGTCCTGGGCAGTTAGCATTAGGTGACCCTGCTTGAGCAGGGTGGCTGGACCAGATGACCTCCAGAGGTCCCTTCCAACTTAGCCATTCTATGATTCTGTGAACTCCTTTAAGATACTTTGCCAATTTCTTTCTTTAAATTCCCCAAATCGTGACCACCTGAATTTATGTAAGTCCATGTGCTGTCCTGCAGCTTATGCCTCTGTCTATATGGCCTAAGGTTGTCTTCCCGTTGGAGTTTTCATGAAGCAAGTTTGCGGATGATACCAAGCTGAGTGGTGCGATTGACACACCAGAAGGAAGGGATGTCATCCAAAGAGACCTGGACAGGCTAGAGAGGTGGGCCTGTGTGAACCTCATGAGGTTCAACAAGGCCAAGTGCAAGGTTCTGCACCTGGGTTGGGGTAACCCCCAGTATCAATACAGGCTGGGGGAAGAAAGGATCGAGAGCAGCCCTGCCGAGAGGGACTTGGGGGTACTGATGGATGAAAAGCTAGACGTGAGCCGGCAATGTGCGCTGGCAGCCCAGAAGGCCAACCGTACTCTGGGCTGCATCAGGAGAAGCGTGGCCAGCAGGTCGAGGGAGGTGATTCTGCCCCTCTACTC